TTGGTTTATACAATGTGCATCATAGTGACCAGCTATACATCTCTTATTTCTAAGAGACCGAAGCAACCGGAACTGGAACAGGAACTATTATCTGGGCAACTAACAACCTTAAGTATACTGGCTGGCGGGGCATTTTATGTTACACTTGTAGGGAGCGGCTGAAGCTGAAAATTGGTTATGTGTGTGGGGGCAAGTCATGGTAGGTCCAAGAAGAGTACCCGAGGCAATCCAGCTGCTTCTGTCCCAAGAGACCTTGCCTGAGACAATTCCAGTCATGAGTTGCTAGGTCCCCATCTGTTGAGTGATACAAACTTTGTCAAATGTATAAATAAACACGTTACAGTGGTTGAACAGTTCCTTTCTTCCCATCAGGAGAGAGAGGGCTCTACCTCACCTCAGGAAAAAAGGGAAAATGCTTCTAAGAAATGACTACAGGGTTTCACTTTTTTCTGCTGCCATTTGTTCTGGACTCAGAACTGAACCAAGGTACCGACCCACAAACACTGGAGCACACGGATCACCAATTGAGATTTTAGAATGAGCCTTTATTAGCTGGCCAGCGACTGACTGAGAGCTTCCACACAGGGTAGGATCAGGTCAGCAGCAAACCAGGTGTGAGAGCAGCTTTTAAGCCAAAAAACCACATCCTGCTTGGCAAGCGAACTCTTTGTGAAGCAGTCTTCCCAGAAACTATAGAAACTTTAGGAAACTTACAAGAAGGGAACGATACATCTCAGGGAATTTCAAGGAGTGGCTAGAATGCAGAACGAAGCAGGTGGGAGAATAGGGTAATCAATAATCTTTTTTTCTCATGTTCTTTGTGAGGCCATGCATGTCCCTTGTGAGGCCTTTACACCATTCACCTACTTTCTCCCTGCACATTTTTATATCACACTTTCCTTCCCTCCCCTGGTACTTGGAGAAACCACATCTTAAATTGGTGTGTACTACCTAAGGCTGGACAGGCAACTGTGGTCTTGTTCATCATGTATTAACAGGCTTCCTGTTACTGTACCCTTGCCATGTCCTTTTTAATTATTATTATTACTAATACTGCAAATATCCTTCCCTTGGCTTGTTTTTTTTTTTTTTGTTTTCTTTTGTCTTTTTGAGACAGGGTCTCACTATGCAGTTCAGGCTGGCCTTGAGCTCACTTTGTAGCCCAGGCTGGTCTTGAACTCACAACAATGATCCTCCTGTCTCATCCTCCCAAGTGCTGGGATTACAGGCATGAGCCACCACACCCAGCTCCCTGGCTTGTTTCTACCCCCTGCTTTTCCCTGGGCCTTTTGCTTCCCAAAATTTAGACAGTATGTTTAAAATAACTCAGCCCTTACATCTCCTCTTAAAGACTGTCTCAGAATACTTTGCCCGTTGTCTCAAAAAATGTATATTTCAGGGATAACTTTGATCTTTTAGAGTTACAGTCAAAATTTTCATATTAGATTATACAGCTAGTAAAACTGTTTGGTTTAGTCACAGTTTCCTTTTTAACATCATGTATAGGATATGCTATGATTTAAAAAGTTTATAATCTTTGGTCTTCTCTTGATTCCCATTAAGGTGGATTGCCTGTTTTCTTTTTTCAGTTGTATTGTTTCTGGTTGTTGAACTTTGTCTTAAAAACAAAACAAAACAAAACAAAACAAAAAAAAAGAAAAGGTTTGGCATTTTACAAGTAGGTAAAAAGGCTTAAAATAT